TATTAGTGTTATGGTTGCGGGTTTTGGCGTATTTCTGGAAGTAGTATTTTACGAGCATAAAAACCATGGTCTTATTTTATTTTTTATTTTGTTGTTGCCAACCTTACTTGTGGAGAAAAAGGGAGAGGTGGGAATAAGGAAATACAAGGAAGGGCTGGGAACAGGGAAAGGGCAACCGGCTCTCTCACTCATCGGACGAAACGCTGTCATCACTGACTACTTCACGCCGATCTTCTGTGAGAAGGTGGTACTTCCCCGGTCGAGCCAGCCCATGTTCGAGCTATAGTAACTAAACCTCAGCTAGGCTCTACCACCTGTAAAATTATTTTTGTTATGTATGACAAAAGAACATTTAATAATCGGAAGGTCAGATCTGGAGATTATTACCAGAATAGTATTGTATCTTAGATAAATTTTAAAAGCTGTTGTCATTTGACAATAGTATTACTATTATATAAGAACCAACATTATCTTGGTGGAACGAAACACACTGAAGTCTAAACTCTTTCTGCTGATGAATTGAAATCTTGCAACTGATCTGCATCATAGAAATGCTTACTGTGATTTTCAGGTGACCTATTTTATGTTTATAAATGTAGTGTGGAAAAAAGCAAAGGTACGAAATGTGTATAAATATTATATTGGTGAATTTGTTACATGATTACATTAATAATGAACACTTTTATTATATGATGAAAAGTTCTACTGTTTAAGTTTTTAGATCAATGTTATTGTCGGTCCACGTTCTTAAGACAAAACTATTGTTTTGTTGCCTTACTGGGGCTATTTATGATATTTGTTGCTATTGGTCATAATTAGTTTATAAAGAATACTTTTTAACTCGCCTAGATTCCTCCTTTTGAGCACCGCAAGAAATTAACACAATTTTTGATACAAATATAAGTGTAAATATATTTATAACCATTTGGTTTACTATTTAGTTATTATGTGTTTTTATCATTAATAAAATGTTTTTGGACTATAAATAACAACCAAATTATGTCTCAAAAAATGTTAATGAGTTATAACTTATAAGTAATTACTAAGGTCGTCTCTTAAAATTCATACTTTTGTCAGGATACTTTATAGAAAAAAGAAATTTTTTAACTTATATAAATCATTATTTTTATATGTGCATACAGTTATGATTCTAAATTAAATGTAACAAAAACATAAAGTTGCAAAGATATATAATGATTTTTTGAAAAGTAAAATAAATTTTGTAGATTTTAGTTGCAGTACATTCCGTTGGCGCTGTTGTCGATTGGGCTTTTAGCGCCATCTCGTAGTATTTCCATTTATTATTTAGAAAGCAAAGGTTGGTTAACGGGTACTAAAGTAGCTCACTCACACAAAGTGTTAGGCTCCTTATAATACTTACTAATGTAGCACATTAATCAGAGATGTCAGCAACTGAAATCAAAACGCCATCTACAATAAAGGTTCGAATAATTTAGAGAACTCAGCTAGTAAGTACTCAGCATAGTTTCGAAGGCATGTTACTGAACCTTATCTCCAACTAACGTCAAGGAAGTTTACTAGATGGAGCTTTAACTAATTTTCAAAGTTTTATATATTTATGTATATAATTTACAAAAAAAAAGAATTCCTAACATTCCATATTAGAATTAAGGTTAGATGAAAAAAATCTTAACATATTCCGAAATATAAAGTAGACAGTAGAGATCAAATAAAAATAATTATAATAGCAAACAGAAATTTACTTGGTTTTAACGAAAGACGTTGTTGATTGTTTTTTGGACCAAATTATCAAATTACTAAGTTTTGTACGTAGTGATAGGTGAATGACTCTTTTCATTTTATGAAATGAAAAGAGTCATTCACCTATCAAAGGATTTACAGGCGGGACCTGTAAGATATCATTTTTAAACTAGGTATTAATAAAATGATTAAATAAGTGCAAATTTTGTGTTCTTGGAAAATCTATTTTGAAAACAGGTATTTTTTATTAAAGAACTTTTATTTAAAACTGTTTTGAATTTATTTTTTAAACCGTTTTACCAAACTATATTTTTATATCTCTGTTAAGAGTGTTAATTTTTTTAATACTTTCAAATAATGTTTATGTTGTTTTGCTTAATACCTCAATAAGACAGATACAACATTTTAAAACTGAAATATCTTGTGTATTTCCCCGTCCAACCTCTCACAAATTTAGTAAAAAATACATGCAAAATATATTTTTTTTCTGTACCACTATTCCTTAAATATGAATTATATTAGATAAAAATAAATAAAATATACATCTATATAGTGGTTAAGTAATATGAATATATGAAATCTTCTATATATATAAAAATGGATTGCTGTTCCTTAGTCTCGCTAAAACTCGAGAAAAGCTGAACGGATTTATCTTATCTTAGTCTTGAAATGTTCGTGGAGGTTCAGGGAAGGTATAAAAGGTGAAAAAAATTCATTCATCACTGGGAAAACCATAAAAACAGCCCTTTTCTATTTCCCATACAAAGGGTTTTTTTGACATTAGATTTGACAACTAACTAAAATGTCAATCATTCTGTCGCACTTCAAAATACGGAGATTTATGGCTTACAGGTAAACTCCAAAAATATAAATACAAAAACGTAATAGATATTTCTTGATTATAGGGCGATACGAAGTTCGCCAGGTCTTCTAGTAAAAAATAAAATTGAATGTGTAAAAAAATTACATAGATTGGTCTTTTTGGTTTTATCATTTGGGTCATATTTTTAACATTATGAGTATAGAGTAGTATTATAATGGTGCAACTTGCAGGACCATTAAGGTTTTGTTTTTAGTCGGCACTAATATAATCGAGGTGGTGTTCGACTTCCTCATTTCAAGTGAAGGTTTTACTGACAAAAAAAATTATAGATACCGGAAGAAAAAAAGTCTAAAGTTACAATCTCAAGCATATATGGGCGTTTCATCATAGCACATTCTAATAATTAAAGCTTAACAAGTTAGTTCCCAAATTTATGTGAGAATGTGCTTTATCTTAATCTACACTACACAAACATTTACGTGTCAAGAAAAATATTATCTCGTTTAGTACATTGGATTACTATGAAAGTTACAAACAACAAAGTCAAACCGATGTTAATTTTTGCCGCTTTAATTAGCTAATACTTTTTTTTCTGTATTACCAGTTCATAATATTGCAAAATACACATGACACTATTTAAAGTCTTTCTGTAAGCATTTTTTTTTTGTAAACTGATTTTTAGCTTTTCAAGTAAATAATATAATTAAAACTCATATAGTCGGCGAAGTAGTTGGTGTTATGGATATAACAAACAATAGGTTTGTTACAACAATCAATCTTACCCCAAAATTATTGATTAATTTCTACGAATTTAGTTTTAATCCCTAACATGGCACGCCCATTATTTGGATACAATAATATATATTAAAACAATCTACATGGTTACACTTAATATGGTCGAATGTGCTAAGTAAATATCATTAATTATGTGTATTTATGTGATGGAATGTTCTACAGCTAGTTTTTCAGAGTAATGTTATTGTTGGCACACATCCTTAAGACAAAAAACAGGGTTTTACTGCATCGCTGGTGAACATTGATAATATTTGTTGCAATCGACCTCACTTAGTATATATATGAATAGTTAATAAGTGGCCCAGATTTCTATTATTAATCACTTTTCTAGACATTTCTACGACGCTTAAAAATGAGTAATATTTATTTTGATTCTTTAAATAGTATGAAAATTTGTTATTTATCACTAGATTATTTTATATTAACCAATAAAACTAACATGTAACTAAGAAGAATTTAAAAAACAAAAGTCATCTGAATTTATGTGAATAAAAATAAATGTGTATATACATTTATGTATAAAATATAATAATATAACATTTAGTTCCAAATTTATAATATATAGAAAAAGTCAAATAAAATATTTAGCAGAATAATCAAAGAGTGTATAGAAAATAATTTTTACAGGACTTTGGCACACTGAAATGATTTTAGTAAATTTTAGTTATAGTCAATTATGTTAGCTGTTTACTCTTACGTTTTATATCAATTTCTCGTTAAAGTTACATTGATCGTAAAGCTATGCTCAGAAACCGAGTATCAAAGTGGATTTCTAATCCAAATTTGAGTTTATTCCAATGCTTAGTATAGATTAACATCCGTCAAAGACTATAGCAGAAGAATGCAAGATACTATAAATATCGAATAAAAAGAATTAATTTATTCAGATTCTCAGTGTCATATAATTTTTCAATATCATAATGATGATACTTTATCACATATACATATTTACGTTAAATGAATAACAATATTTGATACAGTGTAGAAAATTTTCCAATATATGTAAATGAAGACATTATCTTATAGGATTTTTAAATAAGATGAAATAAAAGTAAATTTATATGTGTTAGTAGGTACACCTATTATCCTTAGTTGAGATTTTATTTTTTTAGAGATTGAAGACCAAACTCTGTGTATTATTCATGGCTTAAGCAGACATATTGAGGTATCTTTAAAGGGTTATAGAATGATCTAGAAAGAAAATCGTTTATTAACTTTATATATGTGTATAAGTAATAACTAATTCCTTTAAAATACCATTTATTTAGATCCAAAAAGTACGAAAATACGTATACTTTTGTATTTCCACACGTACATATTTTAATTGGATATAATTTTATTTAATAGACATTATATATCATCATTACAAGATAAACATATTTCAATGACAATACTAATATATATTTATATCTAAAAATAACAATAGACGTAAATTATTGTCAATTTATAACATAGAAGTAATAACTTCCTCGTTTAACTACATCCAAAATTATACGAGACACTTTATATTTCAATGTATTTCTTTAAATATAGAAATATAACTATAAAAATAATAAGTAGGCGTATTAAATTTATCAACTAACAATACAAGAGATAAGCTTAAATATAAAAATTACAGATAAAAATGTTTTAAAAATAACTAAAATCAGAATAATCACAGTTAATCAATCTCTAATTTCCTAAAGCTTCCTTCGACGGAAATAGATTCAGGTTTAAGCGCATTAGTGGGCTTTCTGGATGAAATGATTCCTCTTGTGCTCAGGATTTCCATATCATCGAGAGCCAAAACAGTCTGTCGTCTTTCATGAAGCAAATCTTTTGTAAAACGTATCATATCTTGCAACGGTATGTGACCGCCGTAGGATGTTGGTAGGCAGGATACGTCGACTTTGTTGTGTAAATTTTTCATATTTGTATGTATCTGAAACATATTTATTAATTACGAACATGTAATTGGCTGATAAACATGTCGGTTAAATATAATCAAACTATCTAAGGACGGTAGGTTTTTTTTTTACGAAACACAAAGAACGTTCTACATTCGTAAACACATTGCCAAATGTTATTTCCTCAATTATAAATGGCGTGAGCCGGTTTTAAGCCACTTATTGACATATACGTTTTTAACAACTCCGACACAATGCAAATAATCGTCGTTGACGTAAAGCATCGTGTTAATTTTATTTATAAATTATTTGTTTTAATCTAAGTAGTATTTTTTTTAAGTTTATTTGAATTGTAATACAAAACTATTTGTTTTTTGTTCTTGTTATAATACGTATATTATACTTACAATCAATCTCTCGCTCATTTTAGGGGATACTTTGCTGGTTGCGAAGTCTATGATGTATTTTAATGCAGCGGGAACATTTACCAACTGGAATTCCTTATGGCGCATTGGCAACGATTGCTATAAAGGACAGACAAAATTAAAACCTAATTGTAAACCCTAGGTCAATCACGACTTATATCTTCAAAGATTCAATAAGTAACGATATTCTATGAAAAATATTTATCAATAAGACACTCGATCCATCCAACTAGTTTTATCCTACATGTTAAATACCTATATAAATTATTAAAACAACACCCGCACGTAATAAGAATAAAATAAATAACAAAACAAGTTTATAAGATCTCTTGATAAACTTGATTATATGCAAAGAAGAAAAATAAAATCCTTTGAAAACATTTTAATATATTCTATACGTAAGTACCTATGTTTAATGCAACTTGATTTTTAACAAATCCAGATTGTTATCATAAAAATAAATGTAGTACTGTTCTGTGACATGACAGGAAATACATAACCGTAAGTCACAAATTGTCTTAACAGCAATCACTCACCGATCACAATGAATTTATACTTTCTTTTCCAAAATGTCAAGGACCACTACACTTTAAATAAATGTGGGCGCTTTGTTGCGTGATTGAAAATATTATAATGCAATATAATTACATGTTCCCATCTAAATGTCTTTTTTGTATCATCTAATAACATTGATATCAAAGAAAAATGCTTATTGAAAATCATACAAACAAAAATTTGTGAAAAGGATATGTTATAACTTATCATTTAGAAACATTGAAATAAATATTATAAGCAAATATATTTTTGTGTAAAAATAAAGTTGACACAGTCGATTTTTATTTGTTAATTCTCAAATGTGAAGAGACACTTAAAGTTTTTTTTTTCACTGACCCGTAAACGGATGTTTGGTACGTATATATAGTGGAAAATTTTTGCAGCAAAAAACATTTAAATGTTATTCTTATATTTATTATATATGTTAATTGTAATTTTTTTTGAAACGTTTTTTATCTAAATAGTTTAAAACAATGCTACCATCTAATTCTATTGTTATAATGTAATTAAATAAGATATATTGATGACATTTTTTTTGTATATTTTTTATATAATTTAATCAATTTTAATTAGGGGACGATTTCTTAAAACCTTGATGTTTAACTGGCCTTAAATTAACGTTAGAACTAAGACGATACGAATTGTTATTATTATTAGCAATCATTTATCATTATTTCGTATCTGCATGCAAACATCACACGATTTTGAATATTTTAAACGTTCTCAATCTAGTGTTCAATTCGAACAATATGTTATTTCTCATACTTGACATTTGCTATTTATGTAATACAAAAATTTACTTTTGTAGCTCATTGATGATGTAAAAAAGAATATTGTGTCATACTAAAATAAGGTGAAGGTTGTCTTCAAAAGGGACACGATGAGGCCCAAACTGGTTTCACTGGCCACCCATCATTAAATAAATTAAAAAGGGAGCGATCACGGCCGCAAATTATTATTATTATGAAGGGGAAAAACGTTACTCTGTACTTTTTATTTACTATCCTCTTCCAACTCACCTCGCCCCACTTCAGAAGCCTTGCAAAATCGATAGGGTTCCATGCAGTCACGTGGGATGTGGTAGAACCGCTCCCATCACCAACGTGAGTAAAACCAAAGACCTGATCGTTTGGATCTTCAAGCAAACTCTCATAAACCACAACATGAGCTCGGCACATGTCCCAACAGCTGTACTTAATGGGATCGAATTTACCTGCAAGAAAGTTCACCTTGGACTCAAACGTATTTGACTACAGTATTAGCATTCAAAAACAAACAATAAAATTAATATGAATAAATCACAATCAAGGAAGTCCATATACATTTAGATTTTACACTAATGTCAAAGTCAATAACATCGCAATGGCACATACAGTCGCAAACGCCTTAAAACATACCCACGATTTTCGCACAGCTTTATGAAACTATGTAAGTACGAAGTGAAAATATATAATCTTACCCATATTGTAAATGATGACCCTCCGTCCATTGCTGTCACGGACAGGCGACACGGCTATGTACCTTCAAATTAGGAAATAACTTTGAAACTTCAAACAGTATTATGTCATCGATGTATGAACAACTCTTATATAACATACTCGCAATGCTAAGAGTTCAAGGCTTTGCTTGGGAACTTTCGAATAGCCGTTCTGATACGTATTATGGCAATAAAAAATAACACTAAAGACATATAACATAAAGCTTAATTTCCTGAAACTATGCCACCTTGTGACGATTTTAATTAAAATAATAAATTGGGCAAGTCTGTTGCTAAAGACGGATGGTTATTTTGTAATCATGTCAGTGGGTTTAGATTTTTGAGTATTAAGGTCAGTTTTGTACATATTCATATTTAAAAATATAACATTTTTTATTGATTTTAGATTAATACAGGAAGTAACTTTTAAAACATACTTTTGTAATAGTGTATTCCATATTTATAGAACAATGTCGTACATGGCATATTTGTTACAAATGTTGTATGTATACTTACCCGCTGTTAATTATGTCTTTTATTTTGGGATTTTCACAATCCAAGTTCTTAAAGATGCTTGGATAGTATTTCCTTAGGCTCAAATATTTCAGTAAGGTCTGCTGAGCCATGGGCACGCTGAATTTCTTGTGACGAAGAAAACGCAACAAAAATGAATCATCTGTAAAAGAATGTTGATGTCAGTATATACTACATGCATATGTACATTATATATATATCTATATACAGGTGAACATAATTCTCTTCATTCATTGCCAGTGATTAATCTTAAACCCAAAAAATATGTAATATAAATTGCCTTATTAGTTCCATGTCACATACGACAGTCAGACTTTTTGTCCTTTTGTTATATTCATTCCGAAGTACGAAAAATTTTTAACACATTTTTTTTTATGAGCATCTATCTTATTTTAAGCTCAACTTTAAATTAGCATCTTTCAATGACGGAATTCCTTGTTTAGTTTAATTAAACGTTAACTTCATATACTAATAAGAACTTATAAAAAAGACATTTTTATTAAATATTACAAACAGCTCACAGCTACTGATCGAAGAAGACAAAATAATATCGTGATTAAAGACTATTTACGATGAATTGAAATTCTCTACAAATATTTTAACTTCGATGTTTTCTCAGTAAACTTCCAAAAAGCTGGTTTTACCCAACACCAGTTTGGAACGATGATGACGTTGTTTATAAAAACTAGAAACGTATCATTATCCGAAACCAATATCGCTGGATAAAAAAAAATCCCAATCAAAGATAATTATGATCTATGACGCGTATTCTCAGATAAAACATAAATATATTTACTAAAATATGCTAAGCATATCATGAATAAGTTTTCAACCGAAATTAAGTAAAAGTGGATCATTTTTTCAGTACAGTTATTTAAATCTGCAAATTAACAAAGCTTCAGTATGATTCTGCCTGATGGTAGTTATAACTGAAACTGTAAGTATCGAAGGCGATGGGAGTAACATTTTTGGTTTAGTGGGTATTTCCGAGCCTATGCCAGGGAGCCTTTTGTGGTTAAAGATACTTTATTTTCTCAAAAAGAAATTACATTTCACTTATTTGAGAAACTTATGATTATAAACATATATTAAATTAAAACTTCGACAATTTAAAACATAGCCTTTTATACCCATCCACCTTCCCCTATATCAGAGGAAAGTGACACATCGCGTAGGCAAAGTTAAAAAAAGGAATACATCACGTGAAAATTAATCTAGAAGTATAGAATACACTAATCCGATAATATGTATGTAAGACTCCTGAAGAAAAAATAAAAGTGATAATAAAAAAGGAACCCACCTTGTCTAACATTTTTGATGTCACAGTTCTGTTGCATCCATTCCCTCATTATCCTCAAAGCCTGTTCTCTTCCTGACGGAGTCTCACGTAACTCTCTCGCAGCAACCACTGCCGCGTTTCTCATTGTACGACCGAGTTTTTCATCTTTGTTACATATATCGGTGTTAGAACCCCAAGTTGTCCCAACGGTTAACAGTACGCTCGCCGTCGTCATTTTTATAAAACTACAACAAAGAAATATTGAATTTATACACTACAATAAAATGTTGATCAAGAAAATTTATACATACATATAACAGAGAGAAACATTAAATAATAAACATCAATAACACAATGACTAAATAAATCCTTATATAACGTATTATTAGTATAATATTTTTAATATTATATGTATTATCAATTGCTAGGAAGTTGTAAATATTGAAGTCAAGCGTTAAGGCCTCACCGCTCGAGGTAATCGTAAACGTTAAACACTATTTATTAATCACCGTTTGATTCACCTGTTATAAACACGATAATTAAAAAGAAACTAGAATTACTGTGACGTATATTACCAATGTAATATGTATAAACATGTATTCAAGTTGCACTATTTCCTTAGCATTTCGTTAATATCCCTTGAAAATTATATTACTAAATGCATGTAAATACAATAGATATTCTGATATAGTAACACTCGCATAACTAAAGAATATGTTACCTATACTGTTTATATTTTATTTATTCTTTGTTTTTTTCAAATACAAATAATTAATTGACCCTCCGTTTAGGGTCATTTATATAAAGTCATTGAAAACATGAAATAATATTGTATGTAGCAATTAATTGTGTCATGCAATGGGTTAGTAAATCGTTATAATTTGAACAGGTTTCTCGAAGGCCGATATATGAAATATATCTTATAATTTAGAAGCAAGGTTCTTTATGAATCCGTATGTATGTACGTCTATTTTTTACACGTAGGTAACAAACAGAAGTTATTTAATTTTATATTATTTTCTAAACATTAAAAATAGTTTAACTAATACCATTTCAATCTCATCGAGATGTTAAATGTTATAGAAATATATATAGACGTTCAAAATTATAGTAATATACTTTTTTATGGTTATGCACAGCCAAATCAGACAATGCCCAAAAATCAGAATATCGAATATATGATACAAAAAAATAACCTTAACATATATATTTTCATAAAATAGTAATATAAAAAAAACTGAACTATAATTACTGTTTTTTTTAATTTGTGAGTAACAAAAAACACGGCATACAATTACTTTATCTTAACATCTTGTAAAAATTTTCTCACATAACTTGACTAACTTGTAATTCCTACATAATATAATTAAATAAGTAGCTAACAAATTAACATAAACCATATTAAAGCGTAATATTAGTCTATTTCAAATTTTTAATTATTTAATACGTAATCTAGATTATATTTTAAATTAAACAACAATCAATTAGAGTGATATATATTTTTGATAATTTTTAACAGTTTTCAAAGACAAAACCTTATATGTAGAGTGTAAAAGGTATGTAAGGTATTATTATTCCAATTTAATTTACAAAAAACATTTCATTACTGACATTTGCACTTACTCTTTTAATTATTCAATTTATTAGTTCTACATAAAACATTTGATTAGTTCTACATAAAAAAAATAATGTAAGTGATAATAGACAACGATTAATATTTTACGACAATCATTACACATGATCTACAGATCTATAGCCACGTTATGATGCAACTATTGAAATCTAAAATATCAGTTGTTGGATTTCATAGCTATTCACCTTGGATCGTTTAAATATTTAGCACAATCTCTGTAATTTATTAATATAATTAATTGATACTTGAAATAAATATATAAAGGAATTAAACTGTCTTCTTATTGGATATTTCTAAATAATAGATTATATATATTTGATGACTTATTTTTAATTTTTTTCAATTTATTATTTTTTACTACTAGAAATTATTGCGCTATGCGACATTTATATTTAGTTTTATTTCAAAGAATAACTCAGAATTACAAGTTTAAGTACAAGCGATCTCTTAACCGCATGTTTCCTAAAGGCATTGAAACGTGTCGGTCAGTTATTTAATATACTTCAACGTATGAAGGTCTCTACAATATAAGTAGGTCTCTATCTTCGTATACTGTGACTTTAACTCTTGGCCTATTTGTTGTGAATTTGATCTGTGTCATTTCAATTTAGGTTACGATTCCAATTTTATGATTTAGTGCCGTTGTTGCTTGATTTTATAGAATTGACGAACTCCTTTGGGAAGAAATTTGCTACAGCGCCTAAAATTTGTAAGGTCCCATTGGTCCAAAACCTTGGTGGACCGAAAGCAGATTTCTGGATAGCCAATGCAGCAAAAGCCTTCAAAACTTCATAATCACAGTTCTTAAGATTTCCGATTACAGATGCAGCTTCTTTGTATGCTTTTGGATGGATTCTATCTATTTCACTAGCATTGAAAGCACATAGTATTTGTCGGAGTCCTATCAAATCATAACTAGTGTAGTCCTCTGGTTGTTTTCCTCCAAAGTCTTCTCTGACACGGTCCGCTATGGCGTCTAGTTGCGCCTGTGAAAGTCCGTAATCGACGCCTAGAGTACTTATAACTTCTATATTGCTCAATGTTAAATTAGAGAATTCTTCTGGAGTCACAACAGTGATCACCCAATGCAGTTCTTTAAGAACATCATCTGGAATGTTTTGGGTGCCGTTATAGAGGTCAACAATTTTAATCCAAATGAATTTGGCTTCCGCTGGTGATAGTTTATGTCTTGTTAGATGTGTCAAACATTTCACTGTTTCATTAGGCTTCATCGCTTTTAAATCGTTGAGATTTAATTTACTTTTCTCAGGCAGATCTAGAACTTCCTCGCAAGTAGTGCAGGCAATGCAAGGAAGAAATAAATACATTAAAATCAACTGATTTCTTGTATGGAACAACATGTTATACGATTAAAAGCTTACGTTTTCTGCTTAAGTAATAAAACTAAGCCAAGTTTGATGGTTCATTTTTTATTAAAGTTTCAATCAACTATACAGGATCGTTAAATTAGATTTAGAACTAAATTTCATTTATAGAATGTCAGTCAATAGAATTCTTAAAAAGGTCACTTATAGCTTATGTTTTTATTTTTAATGGTATTCGGAATATCTGTTTTTTTTTTCGTTCAAAGTTCAGTTTTAGTAAACCTTTAAAAGTCACGGCTATCATTTCAACCAATGTATTCGCTGTTAAATTGTCTTCTGAACAGAAAACATTGGAATCGTTTTAGTAAAATAATTATCTGTCAATAAGAATAAATTTCCACGTTCCACGAGTAATTTTCCCACATTACAAACAGTATCATTATCTTTGTGATCTCTGATACAAATTAAAAACAATGTTTGTTATAAATCGCCATCGTAAATTATTTTCTGGTAATAACCGTAAAGTATGCAAGATATGTGAAACTATGTATAATGTTAGGTACATTTAATACGAAAACTCATCATAAAACCTCAGTCACATTATCAGAGGCAAAGTTGTGGTTAGGAAAATGTAAAAAAAATAAGTTTAAGCTCATTATATATCAAAATAATTACAAAACATTTCTGTTCGGGAACTTAAATAAATAGGATATTATAAGATTTTTAAAAATTAAGTAAATTTTTATGTAATTAAACTGTTCAGACACTAATTGTTTATTACGTGAATAAATATTTTAAACATATTTTTGAGTAATATTTAAGGAAAAGAGAAAAACTTCCGTCTGCTTATATTTTTATTACCAAAAATGTTTGTAAGTTAATTATTGTGGCCTCAAAATATTAGCGAGAAAATAATGTGGATATTTTTACATTAATATGATATATTTTTTATATTATTTATTATTCAAATAAATTTTGTTAGTATTTTACTTATCTATACTAACAAGTATTATAAATGCAAAAATTTTCCGTAGTTTGTTTAATTATTCTATTAGTTATGAGATTACACTTAAAAGTTTCTGAATAAAATTTTATGTAATGAATACGAATAGGCCTTTGTATGCCATCGAGGCGGACAAGTCTTTTTAAAATAAATCCAAAAAGGTAAATGACGACATGTATTTTATATGATTTACCTTGAAATTATATTATAATAATTAATGAAACCGAATTAATTTCCTGAAAGTTTTTTTAGCCTTTGTTTTCAAATAGACCAGTAATTAATAAGGCATATTTTTATTTTATTAGCACTTAAAGCAAAACAAATATCTAGATACAAAACAAAAAAAAATTCCAACGGCGTTGTTATGCTAGACTTTGTACTGTTATTTTATTAATTGTCAATAATTTCCCAGAATGTTATAGGTCTTTTAATATTTTCTGGAAAACAAAGCTTTTATGCATACACATATGCAAAGTATATCAGTTATAAACAACTGGTTGACCGTGTCGTTTGACAACTAGGAAATCCCTGTGATATGAGCACGTTTCACGACGTAATAACTACGATTGCTTTGTATTTTTTATAAGAACGGAACAGTTTTAATTCTAAATAATATTATTACAAGCTTAATTGATGGGATGGCTGCTATAACTTGCGTTAATTATCATTCAAAACGTAAAGTTTATAAGTAGTAAGAATTATTTCAGCGTATGTAAAATTATGATGGACACTATAATTAAAAGTTGACAGCTTTTGGTTATTTGCATAATAAATAAAACAAAACAAACGTTTTATTCCACTACATCCTTCTAGAAAATTCATAATGGCAACAAAAAAAAATTATTGAACGGTAACAGGTTTTATAAATTTAATTAAACAGTCCTTAAAATTGTTTTCTGTTTTTTTCATACACGAGCTTTGAATATCATTCTTCTAAAAGACTAATTAAAATTATGCGTGATTATTTATGCCAAAGCAGTAACGAAACACAATGGTTGGTCAATATTTAGTAGGTCGTCGAGAGATGATCATGACCAACGTTTTTTGGCGATTTTGGTTGCGTTATGTAACTTGTATTAAAGCATATACGTAAAAGTAAACAAGCGTTGCGGAATAGCTGTCTAGTTTTGAGCCAATTTTATAACAATAGTACACAGTAATTTAATGTTCTTACCACATGAAATATACAGGTTATGTCATAATAATTTTACATATGACAAAATGGAACGGAAGATATGATCACTGAATATCTTCTATATATTTTTATAATAATCGTAACAATACGCAAATGGAAAATATTATCCTTCGATTCATATCATATTATTAGTAAACGTATTTTTTAAAATTATATATTTTTAAAACAGGTAAATTATAAAGATTAATATTATAATAAATAGATAGGCCATTTATAACACTGGCAGCGCAACAAAAGAGTGAGTAATTCATACATGTATACGGATGAAATATAAAATAAAAAAAATATTATGTACATAATAAAAATAAACGTATAAAACAAAATAAAAAAAAAATATTGCCCAAAGATAATACAAACGCTGAAAATACAGAAAAGCAATTAATATACACTAATTTAATATTAAATATATAAAAGACTCACTAATAAAAATTTGTTGTTACGTATCCTGGAGAGCGAGGCGGTTCACTCAACGAATCACCACAAGGCAATGGTTGGACTGCGTCTGCGCACACAACTTCTAGCCACGCTTGCTCAAACCATGCAATATACCACGCATATGAGGCAACCTTATAATCTTTGCTATTATTATATGTACATGTATGTATTTTTGAAAATTTTAATCACCAAAACGTATTAATGCCCCAAATTATTAGCCAACTTTAAGCCGGTTTAAGCTGAAATATTATAAATTGTACCTAAATTTCATACAACTGCTACAGAAATATAGTTTAAGAATATAAAAATTGATATCATTTACTTTAGTCTTAGTTTACGGGAGTAAAAATATATTAATAAATAATAACTGTAAATATTGATTGAAATGAATAAAACCAATTGAATTCCCTTACGATTATCGTAAAATTTTTCTGTAAAATTAAATTCTTTATATTAATTTGATATTCATGATGACGTTATTTAATGTATGTTTCGCAAAAATCTTTTTAATATTTATATAATATTCAGAAATTCTTATATTGTCTCTTTTTTCCAACGGTACGAGTTCAAAAGCGTCTTCTATACCCAGAAACGGTTGCAACCTGTCTTCTCATCATTTAACTCGAACGCTCATCCTATTATCCAATTTATTTTTTTGTTTTTCCAATGACAAGATCCATTTTTAGGTTCCGTATTTCATATTCCACTGATATTCTATGATGGTATTTAAACTTCCGTAAAGTAATCAAAGGAAATATAAAAAAATAAATAAATCGCCTAGTTATCTGCAAAGAAAACACAGTTTATGTATACCTATTGCCTTTGACTAAGAAAATTCATTCATCACTAGTAAAATGGATTCAGGCTATTTCTGTCCTCAGACCGTCTTTCATGTTTCACTTTTAAAAATATATAGGTAAAAACTCCTTTTAAAAAACTTTTTTTTTTCGTCACATACAAAATTTTATTCTGTCATATGACCTTTGCCACCTCGTGTCTTTTAATTTGTAGTTTTCTTGGAAATGATGCAAATAAATGAAGTTTATTCTATTTTCCTCCAATACTTCTGCCAGCGCTATCAATTATAGTTTTCTTGACACGTGGATGCTACATCCTTTTGAGTTCTAGGTTTCCCTGTCGTAGTAAAATAATTTGAAATGTCCCAGGATATATAACATTTCTTATTTAAACTTCTAAAATATAAAAATAATGTTTCAAAAAACAAACATATGTCATGAGATGAGTTTTTTTATGTAGCTAAAATATGCAATAAAATATTATAAGAGGATAATTTTACATAAACTTTACATCAGTTACTTACTTTAAACATATAAATAAAAATAAAGAGACCGTTTGGGATGTCAAAATACTATTATTTCCCAAGCTGTTATTGTTATTTACGTGATACCAAGACATAACAATGTTCTTTAAATTAGTTGTTTGTCTTACATACTGTTTGTCCGTGGTAATCCTCAGAACGATTGACCTGGTTTAAATTAAAATTTCATTGTATATTTGAGAAGTTTGTAGGGCAGCATAAAAATTATGCTAATTTCAAACTATTCTAAACTATGATTCTCTAACGTTCGTATTTTTAATCATTAATAACATATTAGAAAAAGCCTTATCAGTGTAACCTATTTTGTAACAATATTAAGATTTCGCGAAAGAAGACGAAGGCAAAAGCTTGTCATGTAGTAAAACGGAAAGGTTAATTCATTTATCACTGTTTTATCTTACTGTTAATCACAAGTAAACGGATATAATTCTTATTTATTGAAACCTACACTTCTCTAACAATAGCCTTATTTTTCTGATAGCATCACGCTTACACGACTATTTCAAGAACGCTCTAGTTATGTCATAGCTGTGGGAATCGCAATAGAAACCTCAGTTTGCCTAATTTTATATTCAACGCAACTATTCGTTGTAAGTCTAGACCAGAAATCATAAAAAAATGACATCAAGTATCGACTAAATATGTTTCTTTTTCTCTACAGAACAGCATTACATACTGTCAAAATTTTTAAATCTCAAATCAGTGAGTTAGTCAATAAGCATACTAATCGTGAAACTATGACTCATTTTTAATTACTGAAACAAGATATTTTTGTAATCAGAATATTAGGAATAAATTTTTTAAATAATATTTGGCAATACCCAACGATTTGCGTAATATTATTGATCCACATTAAAACAAAATCTGGTTTTTGCAAATAAGTGTGCTTTCTCTCTAAATTGTTAATTAACGAGAGCTTGTGAAAGGGTGTTTTTGTGTCTGAATCACGTTATTTTGAAGGCCATGTATCAGATTAAATAAGATAACTAAATATCGTAAGGTAGAAATATTATACATTAGTACCTAGAATATAAAAACGAAAATTTATTATAACAACTGGAAGTTTAGACCTACTTAAAAGATAGGGTTTAAAATTAATTATTTAGCTTTATTCTCAACTTGTTAGAATTTAAAGGCCGAGTGCCAAAAGTATGAATTACATAAGAATGTCTACCGTTGCGATGATATAATTACGTCGCAGTTTCATTAAAATTGTACGTTTTTTGTGAAATATATCACACATTTTGTTGAAAACCTCGTCATTACCTCGTTACTATGTACAAATTGATATATGATTATATTCTAAAACTTCTGTTACAAAGTTTATATTTCGGAGTAAGGGATGAAATAAAAGACAAATATCCACTAAATTCATGTAATACAGATTAGGGCATTATCGTGTTTAATTAAGATTTCAAACACTACGTCTACATTGAATATAATTATACGAATATGATAGACTTAACTTACGCAACGTCTTTTTTTTTTTAAACACTGATATTATAATTTTACGATACCATCGTTTGACATTGATTAAATTATATAGAAATTCTTAATTTTAAAAAACTTATTTAATATCAACCTCTTACCGTTACATTACTATGAAACCGTTACTATTGAAAAATGTCAAAGCTGTCAGATCTGTCAGGTATGACATTTAATAATAGTGACCATTCTTAAGTGACATTGTAATAATAAAAGATATCCTAAGCCTTATGAATGTATTTCGTAGTTTTGTTTTGAAATCATTAACTAAGCGCGCTCATTAAATTAATTGAAAACAATGCATTCGATAAAATTATATTTACATAAAAACTTGATACGTTATATTAAAATTGTCACTTAAAAATAAATAATAACTTTGTTGTAACGATGACTAAAAAAGGTATCCATTGCCCTCACAAAATACCTTAAGATGGTGATTTTAGTCATTGTTCCTATGTAAAAAAATATACCCTAAAAGAATTCCTTAATAATTAATATTAACAACCCAGTTTTTGTTACACAATTCTGTCCTTAAAAAAAAACTTATAAAGTTCAAATATCAATCACACTAAAAATATATTCATATAGAATAAATAAAATAAATAAAAAAAACATATAAAAACTTTAAACCTAAAAAAAATATATTGAAATAGAATAAGGTTTTAAAAAGTTTGTACTTAACAATCAACAAATAACTTTGAAAAAACGAAACTTTTTAAATCATACATTTTTATTCATAATTTAATTTGCAAACCATCAATAAACTACAGGTTTACTGACTGGGAATACAATTAGTCAGCACCTTATAGTGTTACACACTAATTCTTATGTTGTATGCAATAAATATGTGCTTAACAGCATATTGAATGGTGTTTAATACAACAACTTATCCCAACTTATCCCGAACTAACCTTATCTTAATCATCACCATATTTTATGAACCAATTGTTATAATAAACACCAATTATACATTTTAACCTAATTTACTGGAAACGCTTCATCTTGCGTTCCATTTTCTTGCGTTTCTTCTCATCCTGTTCAGTTTCTTGCGGTGCCTCCTGGAAGAACCACGGCCCCAGGAAGTTAACCCACACCAGCCAGAACACTCTTATCGGAAGGAGGAGCAGCAGTAGCCAGAAGTACTCGGAAAATGCAGCGAGAATATGAGTGATGGAGGTAAGGATGACAACATCTTTGATGTGCCTGCAATTAAATATCAGTTAAAAATAAATAAAAAACACATACATACATGATACTTGACAATAACAAAATTGATAGAAGAAAAATATTGCTGAATATTGCGGTAAGAATCTCTGTAAAACTGTGTATGTAAAAATTTTTACCGGTTGGATAATCTATAAAAACTTTTTTCAGCTATGTTATACACCAATATTTGTAAGCAAAAAATTAAAGATACAATGAGTCTAAATTTAAATGTACATTTAGTTTTTGATTCACGTAACTTTGTTTCCCATCAATGTCCTCATATAAAAGATGAATACATTTCAGTTTAGTATAGAGAAAACATTTCTTGATCTAAGACTCTTCTGATAGTATATAGAGGGACTCACTGTTTTGTCCGACGATAATGATAACTTTTAAACCTTAATCGTAATATATTGATTTTAATACTAGGAAAACTAAAGCAGTGTTTAGAAATGTTTTGTTTAGTAAAGTATTATGTCCATACTCTCCCATGCCCCCTTCCATGTTCAAATCCAAGCCGGGATCAATGATCTGCTTTGTGTCGGTCAAATGTGGACGACTGATGTACAACATGCTCTGATAGCAAATTATATAGATGATGGTCACCAACACATTCATAAACTGAAAAATATTTATGGTTAAGCCATATCTAATGTAGAGGAATAAGACGAAAATTTTAATTTGTTCAATTGTATAAACTTACAATCTTGCGGAATGTAGTAGATTCATAATTAAGGACAACAACATAAATGTTGAAGAAGAGTCCTGCACATATAGCCATGTTGCGATAAAAACTGACCGTGGCTGCATTCTCAGTGAGTATCTGCTTGGCACCCTTAGTAGGTGCTTTACCTTTCTGTGGCTGAAAAGTGTGACGCATTTTTACAAGTCATTCATTGAAATGATTCTAATATTGTTTTTACAATTCTTTATGAATATCTATGAAAGACATCATAGAATTTTATGTGGGGCTCATTCATAAATCGGAAAATTTTCGCAATGCAATGCGCAAGTGTCCCCATTACATTAGGGTGGAGTTTGCAATCGACATCGATCGATACTACAGCCGGTGCATTATTGCACACACCATGATTACGATTTCAATTTTAATTACAGATTTTCAAAGTAGGAATCAACGTAAGGCCTACTACCGTTTCACAAAACGAAATACTCACCGGAGGCATTTTGATATATTCCGAAGAAAAAAAAAATTAAAATAAAAAATAAAACGAGAAAATCTTTAAACTAAACCTAATTTAATTCTTATTTTATTACGATCCACCATAAAAAAACTAAATGAATAATCACACACTATAGTAAAATATTTTAATAAGAATAGAACATGGAGATGAGAAACTACGAAAATTGTTCAAATTGACATCTTGTCGCCCCCACCACCTCTTCTACACATCGATTATTGTTATGTCATTGATCCATGTGGCAAACGTTTGGAAACTCTTCATTCTGTTAGTAGTTAATACTTATTAGGACTAGTAAGCAATTTAATTTAGATTCTCATTTGAATACTAAAAATTATTCAATTACATAATATATAGGTAATACAGATGTTATCATTGCATAAGACAACATAATAAGGCATTTGTAAAGTATATTAAAATTTAAATCGAAAAATATGTTGTGATAACATTATTAAATAATGTTATCTCTATTACCTAAACTGAATTATAGTAGGTGATTTGTGGGACAGGAAGATTTTATTACGTAATCGATAAATGCACAATTTTATCAGTTAATTCTTATATTATTTTTATTATTTATAAAATAAATTTATATCAAACTCAAAATTATATATTATTGTATCTTTGTAAGTAAGCAAATTAATTATTCACATAATTTAAACGATTTTTTATTTATAATTTAGTTTATAACACATAGTTAGGAACTTAGTACGTTCAAAGTTTAAATGTAGGTAATATTTTTATATCGCAACTCGATAGCTGCTGACGGCCGCTGCCTGCTTGTTGACTGTCGAGTGAGAGAGCGATTTCGTTTCGTGTTTATTGATTTTGAATGAAAATTGCAAAATGCAAAACTGAGTAGCAATTGAAAATAGTCATAATACCGGAACGAGTACTTCGTAAAAAGATTGATTAAACTATGAAATTTGTTAAAGGTTTTGTGTTCAAGCCTTGACCCTCAATATAGATTGATTAAATTTTCAAGGAACATATCGGTATGTCGGTGTTTTGAACTTATACTTAATTCTATTTTTTATGCTTTATTTATTTATAATACAGTTTCACCTTTTTTAGTTTAAACTTGTAAGTAAAGGCAGTATGCGATGTTTCTTTCTAATTTCATAATTTTCTAACCCCCAATCACAAATAACATAATTGTGTCAGCAATTCGCGACACCCAAGCTAGTTCTTATTGGCAAAATTTGCAGCCTAGCGAATATGGAACTGTATAACTGTTAACAAAGTAGTCATAAAATGATCGACACTTGCGATTTTATTGGACCGCTATATTTCGTCAATTACAAGCAGTAGTCATATATTTTGCTAAGTCTACGGAATTTTGATAAATAATAAAATGTTTGCTTATTTTTAATGTTCAATGTAGTTCTATTTCGTGGAGAATATTTAAATGATATGTAAATTAAATTCCTATTGAATAGTGCCATAGTAATATATTCAACATATTTAACTGAAATATATTTGTAGTTTTAGTAGTGATTATTGTGTACAAATTATTGCTTCATTGTTATGCGAATGTGCATTTGATATAACTAATTAGTTTTAATGCTGTACTTATTGGTTGAATGACAAAATGACAGAATTTCAAACTATGAATTAAAACTAGCAAAGGCTATCATTTTTTGGTCTATATGTGTGTATACTTATCTACATTAATTATCTTTCTATTATTGATTTTATTTATGTGTTTCCATGTGTATTGAACACATAAGTTGCATTATTAGTTTTTTTGTATCGATACAGAATTCATTTTCTTATAAATAAACTTTGTTTATTTTAGTTATTAGATTTTTATAGTCAGTTTTAGTGAACTTTACTTACATATTATTGAATATTCACTTGTATTTCAGAGTCAAGATAAATGATACGAGAATTCTATGACAGTTCAGATGAAGATGAAATGGAAAGTCAGTTTCAGATAGATCCAGAATGTTTGGTTCTCACTCGACCGGCTAGGGACATGCATAATCGATGTTGTGGCGGCAAAGCATGGTGTATACGGGTATTATATTGATTTAATAATAAATATTCGTTTTTATTCTATACAATTTTGTTTTATAAAATAGTATATGGATCTTTATTTTCTCTATTAAGAATGTGGAGCATTTTTTAGTAATGCTAACATAGCTGTATATTATACAGATTGTCTTTAAGTATAACATAAAATGAGGTTCATTATGTTATTGTTTTGTTCTAACTTAATAACCATTGTTTTTGTGAAATTGCTAGTAGCCATTACATTATATAAATGTGTATAAAAATAGAATCTGCTTGTATGGATTCAAATATAATGTTGTCAAATAAAACCTTATTTTATTATAAACAGATACCATAGATGCTAATTAATATTTTTATTCCAGGATATATGTGGTATAATTTGTGCGATCCTAACATGGCTTCTGATCTTGTATGCGGAGTTTGTTGTTATGATGGTGATGCTTCTGCCCGGCGTATCAACTTATCCGTTGTACAGCTATGTGAATATCATCATCTTCCAAACCCTAGCATTCCTGGCTTTTGCCTCTCATTTGAGAACAATGTTTACCGATCCTGTAAGTAATTATGAACTGTTATCCTGAATATTACTATGAACTTACAATAAAATTAATATATATTTTTTTCCCTTTATATTATTTTTTTTTTATAAAAAATATAAGCTGATTGATTACAAATATTCATATACATTTGGGAAGGTAAAAGATATGGGAAAAATACAATTGAATTAGATACATGAGTTTTGGCATAGAGTAAAAATCTGTGTCCAAATGTTTGGACAATATTATTTTAATTTAATAATTAATATTATTTTTTAAATATGATGGGCAGACATTATTTGGCAATAAATTAAAATCATGAATTTGTATGAGCCCAAAAAATATTTTTTCTACACTTAAATAGATATTTGCATATGAAAGTCATTAATTTGGGTTATTTTTGTAGGGTGCGGTACCAAAAGGGAATGCGACTAAGGAGATGATAAAACAAATGAGCTTCCGTGAAGGTCAGGTGATATTCAAGTGCACCAAATGCTGCAGCATCAAGCCTGAGAGGGCTCACCACTGTTCAGTATGCCAGCGATGTATCAGAAAGATGGATCACCACTGTCCCTGGGTCAACAACTGCGTGGGCGAGAATAATCAGAAATATTTTGTGCTATTCACCGTGAGTACATAATTATATGATAACTAGCTTTCCGCCCGCAGCTTCGCCCGCGTGGAGTTCGTTTATATCGCGTTTCCAAGAGAACCTTCGCGTTTCCAAGAGAAACTCAAAAGTCTGGGATAAAAACTATCCTATGTTCTCGGTCAACTCCATCTCTGTACCAAATTTCATTAAAATCAGTTCAGTGGTTTAGGTGTGAAAGCGTAATAGACAGACAGACAGAGTTACTTTCGCATTTATAATATGTATTTGTAGGGATTAATTCAATTTTGACTCGACTCCGTCAATTGTAGGTTAAAATCTTATGTATAATGGTTCAGATGTTCATGAGTTCAGATGGAAGCAACAGACAGACACGCAATATTATAAAATATTTTTTTATTCCTTTATTTAACAAGTATTAACAGTACCATAAAGATTATAAGGTATCATTATATAAAAAAATTACAAAATACTCTGATATGTGAGTACATTGTAAAAATATATATTTATGTATTTTATGGCAATATTTTCCAAGGATATAAAGAATATTTCAATAAACACTTAAACTTTACTCATTCTGGTTGATAATAGCGTGTTATTTTCTCATACATATATACATAAAAAGTGCATACATACATAATAAAGTAAATAAAGATTTTATACATAGAGATATAAAGATTTTATACATAATTGATAAGTATTGTTGTGTTATAAATTTGTGAGTGCATTACGCCCATTATCCATTTGATATATGGAATACACGTGAATAGTCGATTAAGCTGACGGAAACGTCTAATCTTTGGGCTCTTTGCACTGAAACGATGCCTTTGTGATAAATTGACAATGTATTAATATTTGTAGCTCAGTCCGTATTTTGATAGCTGCATTTTGACGTTCAAAATTATGTTAAAAAAAAAACTATTTGTTTGGAAACTTTTTGAATTAGTTTTTAATAGACTTTATTTTTTATCGGATTTAATGATTTATCTGAAACCAGGTGTAGATATGTAATTTTTATCTTGTTCTAAATATAAAGATATTTGTGCGAAATTAGAATTTTTGCTTTTAAATTTTTATGTAAATAAAAAAATCTTGTTTTAGAATTAGGTTAAATTTATGATATTCACGAATTTTAGAATCGAATTTTAATAAGCAAAGAAAGTAACAAAACGACTAATTCTACTTTATTTAATATGCAAATATCAGTTTAATTACGACGACATTCTTGCGATTTCAACAAATGCCGGCTCTAAGGGCCCAAAGTTTTTGCAACAATAAAAATTACTTTAAGCAGAATTAATAATCTTTAATAATCTTTATATTCTTTTTTGACAATACTAATATTATTAAATTAATTTTGTATATATTGAAAACTTTTTGTGTTATTTTTAATAGAACAATGAGTTTTCTTTTATATTATATTGTTAAATAAATTGTACTATACATACATAATCATTCGACATTTTTCGCTTGCCGTTGTATGAGAAACACTATTGGATGAATTCAATTTAAATAATGATTAAGAAATTAGAAATATTAAACAAAATGATAGAAATTTTGTCTGTTCTTCATAAATCTACGCATATATGAAAATATGATATTAAATAGGAATAATCACTATAATAATCTAGTTCACAACGAATTAAAAGCACATGTTATACAATAGTATTTTAAAACTATACTAATTTATGTATTTGCTGGCAAATATCACGTTTTATTCTGCAGTTACATGTCTTGATATCTCGAATTCCAATAAACAAATTAATGTTAAAATACAATTGCTTAAATATGATTTGTATCATTTAATACTTTAGACAATTAATTTATATTTTTTTTGTTTGATTTGAACACAAACTTCCGCGGTATTTCTTACTATTAACTTACTTTTCACTCTCCACCCAAAAAAAAATCTTGCTATTAATCTTACTTTTAACCTATTTACCCTCGACCTGAAACAAACTCTTGATGTAATGCTTACTTTTAACCTACTTTTGACTCTACCTGAAAGAGACTTGCGATATTTCTTATTATTAACATACTTTTCATTCTCTACCTGAAAGAAAATCTTGCTATAAATCTTACTTTTAACCTATTTACCCTCAACCCGAAACAAAAGTCTATGCCAATACTTATTTCTCCTAAATATTCCTTCCAGTTCTACATAGCGGCTATATCGATTCACTCGCTGACGCTGTCGGTGTACCAGTTCGTGACGTGTATAAGACACGAGTGGCGTGACTGCAGCACATATTCACCGCCGGCCACCGTTGTGCTGCTGCTGTTCCTCATAGCTGAGGCACTGCTGTTCGCGATCTTCACCGCCGTTATGCTTGGGACACAGTTACACGCTATTTGGAACGATGAAACCGTAAGTATTTATGTACGAGTATGTTGAAAGATAGACCTGCTTTTGATTAATAGTGATGGTGGTAAATAGTTTTAACCGGACTATGATTTCATGTTAAAGATTTTATAGTAACATATATCTCATTTCGGTTATAAGTAACTATTCTAAGGTGTTTTGTGTATCTAGCCTACTTCTCTAATTTGTCATTTCTTATGGGTTTTTTGGTTGTTGTCATTTCTTATGATTTTATGGTTATTGTCATTTCTTATGAGTTTTTTTGGTTCATATAGTGGTTCTCAAGTCTCAAGTGAATATTTTATTAAAATTTTAGGTATGATCCCATCAATATTTAACTTATTTTTGTATTGTGACATTAGTTTTGGGTCAAAATGACAAATTTTCGGGTGTATATCTGAGCTTTAGATATGTGAATAGTATCATAGGAAAGGTTTTGTTCTCAGTTTTGAGGCCTATTGGGCAATTAAATGGTTAATTAGTAATTAATTTTCGTCCAGAGGTAGTGGGGTAGGAAAACACTGTGAAGACTTTCATATTATCCAAGTTATCACCTTCGCAGTGGTATCGTTTCATTTTCAAATGCCCATTTTGTTGTTATAGTGCTAGAGGAATGAATCGTTTTATGAAAACATGCAGCAACTAATATTCTTCTTGAAATATTCTTTGCTTCAATGAATGACGTTATTTTTTCAAGTCGTCGATCAAATAAAGAAATGCCTAGGACTTTGGAGTCGTTACTCTAATGCATCTTCTTCTTCTACCTGCCAATTTCCCGGCTGTAGCCAGGGTCTGCCTTACATGTTGTGAATAGTTTTGGCTAATTGTTTTTACGACCGGCCACCTGCCTGACATCAACCCTCTTTTGGGAATCAGCATTAATCAGTGATATCTAAATACTCTTAGAAAGTACATATGACTCGGAAAAATCACATTGGTACTTGCCCGGGCTAGGATCGAACCCGCGCCCTCGGCAACGAGAGGCGGGCCCTCTAACCACCACTGACTTCTCAAATGCATGAGGATATAAATCTAAGCTATTTTCTCCACCATATTACACCTACACGGTTTTCAATTGTGATGCGACATGCGATAGACCAAGACAATAATTTGACTCTTTGTATTAAGTATTATTTTTATATGAAATAATATTTCAGGGTATCGAGCAACTGAAGAAGGAACAGGCACGTTGGGTCCGGAAGTCAAGATGGAAGAGTATACAATCTGTATTCGGAAGATTCTCAATCCTATGGTTCTCGCCGTTCACACAACCGTCACCGAAAACAAAGCTCGAGAGCTATCTATATAGCGTCTAAAATCATTATAAATATGAAACAAATCAAACCTTTTTTGTTAATAAGTAACATGCATTTAATTATGACAAACGTTATATTTATTCTATATTCGATTTTTGATTAACGTCAGTTTTACCACAGAGTAGGTTATATAATTTTTATATAATTTTAAATATAATTAATTCTATATCGATGTTTATTTTTAATAAATATATGGATATATTTTTATTCATATGTTACTATCCAATAAATTAAGTCAGTACAGACGTACAGCTTGTTTTTATCGTAATAATTAAAATCGGCGATTAGAAAAAAAGCATTCCCTAGGTTAGTAGAACGCGGCACTAACAAAAATAATATTTTTTATAATAATATTTTGTATGACACACACCGTTCATTATGTCATGATTTTTTTGACATTTAATAATCGGGAATTAGCTTTTAACAGTACGTATACAGTAAGTATTAATAAAATACACTACAATTTTTGTCATAATTGGAATTTTTATATTAAATAATATTATTATGACAGAACATGACTAATAACTAATAGTTTTTCTAATTAGCTGATTTGAATTTAGAATGCGACTTAATTTGAAAATACAATGTTAGAACTTTTAGATAATCTGTTCTTTAAAAAGGTCACATCTTTTTTTGTAATTAATTTTTTTTACAAGCCTATTTTGTGGTAAATCTGTGTTTTCGGTATTTCAGTATTTCTTATATAATAAGTGCATCATTATATAGTTGTAAGTATTGGACCTATCAATGTAACGATTTCTAAAATTAACCTTCTAAGTATATATCGCGGCCTTTAAAATAATACAAAAAAAATTGACGTGAATAATATATTTATATGAGAGTAATTGTAAATTAGTTTATTTAGAGAGCGTTAGTTGTTCGTAATAGAAATAAATGTAACGGCTAAGCGATTGGCGGAAAAAAAATATAAAAAAAAACTAAAAAAATTACAAAATCATTCAAAGCGAATGAATGTTTTTTTTATATATTCGCTTTCAGTACGAAGCAATTTTCTAACTTGCATATCGCAGCCTAAGACTCGATTGAAAAAAGTTCAAATCACAAAATTATAGTAAGCATTTATTATAGATGATAGATGTAAGTGTTTTAATGCTTCATATAATAATTTTATATGTATATCAATGTTGTAAGTGTAACGAACAAAGAAAGATCTCTTGGATTTTTAGATCTATTTATTTTCACTTGTTATGTATATTCCCATTTATATATAAAATTAATTCGTCCTACGACGTATTGGTTTTTCGGGATGTATATGGTGTATAAGAATTTTTTGTGGCTATAATTTTCATTCATATACATATATATATATATATATATATATTAATCTCATTATATTAATTTATTTGATGCTATTCATAATTGATACAAATTCTTTGTAATATGTTTATATTTATGTATTTAAATATATATTTATATATATATATTTTTGTATATGTGTTTTCTATTAATATAGAATGTAGGACGTGATGAATTTTTCACCTCAATTAGGATATTAAATGCTATTTATGAATAAATAGCTTCTTTAGTGAGATGCTGTCGTTTAAACTTTAAATGATGAAATTGGTGATGATAATTAATTTATTAAATGTTAGATAATTAAGTAAATAAAGTAATTTTAGTATTATATACATATAGCAATTTTTTTTTGATTATTATATAAAGGAATTGATGTCAACAGGATAATGGAATATGAAGAATTTGATGTTTAAAAGGTTTGATGGTATCAATGGTCATTTTGAATGTTAACGGACAAGTATTTTGTGAGAGAAAAGTAAGTGTATTGACATAAATTAGTATAAGATATGAATTAAATTGATAATAAAGATTCAATGTTATGAAACACCAGCGGTGAGACTTGAGGATATTATAACAATTGTATAATTTTAATCTGTTTAGGACTTTTAATACAATACTAGCTTATATAGAATTCATATACTCATTATACATTATACAACTATAACAGTTATAAGATCTAATTTACAACTACGGTTTATTTAATAAAAATTTAATGGTACATAATAATGATTGTTCAAGACCCTAGCGATAGGTATTTCATGATTTAGCATGACCTTGAATTTGTCAAATTTAATGCAATAATTATGTTAGGTTCTTTATGTTATTCCAATAATATATTTTGTATATACGGTGTTATATAAATTATATGTTTTTTCTTCTAATAATTGTGATAATTCATTTAATAAATTAGGCTTGGTTCATATGAATGTATATTTTATAGTGATTTATCAAGCGTCCTTTTAAAATATTTCTTTTGGTTATTATGTAAATTATTGTATTATGTTAAATTAACATTCCATTATAATTTGACTTACAATGTGACATTTTTTTATCATCAAATATTGTAATATTAGTAACTAAAATGATACTGTTAGATATTAAAATTTATTTCGTCATAAACACCTGATTGCAAAGGAACCTTGAAATATGCGTTATTTACAATAATGACCCAATTCTGTATATCTAATTTTATGTCTCAGAATCATCTAGAGATGTTATGAATATGAGGATGCTGTAAAGATTGAGATTTAATTAGAATCTTAATAGTACATATAAAATTTGGATAAAGTTTTTCAATGACCTGCTTATGTAATTTGATTATAAATAGAAATTGATTAATATCATGCAATGGAATATAAAATTGTATTCTATTCGAATAAACATATATATTTTTCGCTAAGTTCATGAAATTTCAAAACAATACATTTTGAGCCTTAATGAAACTATATATACATGATTTACACATTCAGACTATAATTATTGCCTTTATAAAGCCTTATAAACAGTATTACGTCATATAAGTCCCAGCAAAACATTATTTTATATATAATTTATTAACATTTTAATATAAGTGTAGGTAATTAAATGAGAAATTAATGTCAGCTGATGATTTTAAATGTGGTTTTAATTACCTATATCAATATGTAATTTGGTTGGCCTATAGACGGTCTCAGTTTTTTGGGTATTTAATAACATTATGATATTTTATAATGGTATTGTTTCCTTTTAGTTCTTAATGGGATTTCGTAGTTTATCTTCTAAGATATTAAATAGTATTTTTTTTACCGTTACAGAATTTAGCCCGTTTTGAGCTTGCATGGTTTATCTATGTGGATGTATGGATACTTGTTAGAACGGGGTTACTGTCAGTGTCTATGTTAATTAAGGGAACTCATACTAAATTCATTGTTGTCTAAAACATTTCCTAGATGTCGTGATTGTAGCATAAGCTTCATAAAATTTTGGTTAGGTTGATGTGTGTAACATCAAAATCTTAAGTTCGTCACAAAATGTATGTTATCTAAAATCATTTAGTGTTAAGTGAACGGTCTGAAATTTTATTTTTTCTCATCGTTTATATATAATAATATTACAAAATGAAATTGTATATTTTGTCATTAATATAAATAATATCTTAATTTTTGTTTCATGTATACTTCTTCGGGTAAATACAATTATTAAAAAAAATAGTCGTCTTTTATTTATCAAGGTTACCATTTTCTAAAGATCCTATCAAAATGACTAGATACACATTTAAAATTAATGCGTAATTCTCGAATAAATTCCTAGTTAGATTCCTAATTAGATTAGATAGTTTATAAAAATATTTTTTAGTAAATGATGATGATATTGCAAATAAAAAAGTGCTCTTAAAGCGATAGTAAATAACATATTTTCTTTTTAAGTCTTCTATAATAATGACGCCCACCGTTATCGAAAGCCACTTTCACTAAAATAGAAACAATGTTTGTGTTAAACGTACCAAGTGACTTCACTCACAGCGCGTTAGATCACTCGAGTGTATAGAAAGTATTACGTTTAGGAGCATCTCGTAAGTTTTAGCGCTAGTTCAGCCTCAAGGTGACCGAGTACGCGAACCTGTCCCATAAGGTTACGCAACCACAACACTGAGCTCACTTCCTCTGCATCTGCAACCGTCACGGTACGTCGTAATATATTTGTGTTATATTTAATTTCTATATATACATGTTACACAATAAATTCCCTTGTAGATGTTGCGTGTGTTGTGTTTATTGATTGTGGTGGCGACATCTATGTGTCGGCCTTACGATCCAGAGGATAGCGAACTGAAGTCGGTGCTTCCATCTAGCGGGGAGTTCGAGGCTTTCTATCCGCGTCAAAGTCACGGCATCCCGAATGGTTCTTCGCGGCCAGCACACGGCCACGGCAGTTTCTACAAGCATCGCAACCCAGCTCTTGTGGATGTCAAAAATGCACCCGCTTACGGATTCAGATTCGATGGAATGAGACGTTTTAATTTTGATGATGAGGAATAGTCATTGTTTAATATATATTTTTATATATTACATATGTTTTATTTTTCTTTTTCCTAATATATTTTTCGGATTTAAATACTGAGTTTGCTTGTCTGATTACCATTTTGTTTATCAGATCAATATATAATTAGATGCTGTTTTATCACAAATAGTCTTGGAAATATTTATGATTAAGAATAACATAAATATATTTATCGAATTAACAGCCAATCAGTCACGTTGTTAAAAATTACCTTGGCATTACATTTTATAATACTTATGAATAATGATGTACAAACAGTCGTGTATTAAAAATATATACACAAACATAAGTAACTCTTTTCAAGGTAGGTACAGTAAGAAGCTTGTATCCGAATAAAATATTTTTGAAAGTTTTAGTAGGTATATAATTATATATCATTAAAATTTCAAGTCGTTTATTAATTTATTTATGATAAAGAATATACTTCAATTTCAATTCGTTTTCTTTATGTATAAAAAAAATTAAAACATATTTTCTTGCAATACCTACCTACATGAGTTGGTAGGAAACAGAGTATATATTATTCCCTAAAAGAAAAGATAACAAAAGGTTTTTTTTTTAAGTATGTATGTGTCAATCTTTTACGTATTTTCATTTTTCGGTGAACTCTAAACAATTTGATTTTATTTCCTTAGCATTATAATTGGGATTCGATATTTAATTGTTATATTAATCTTAAAACTAAACTTTAAAATTAATTTTACAAACACGAAGAAAGATGATATGGAAAAATTAAAAATATTTATGTACCTATTATGTTTTCGTACGAAGGGCTACAAAGAATGAGTATTTCCTTACTTATACGACAGATTATCTTACTTATACAGATAAGAGTGAAGGATAAATAGCCTTTTTTTCGTCGCCTTTCTTACAAATAATATATATTTTTAGAACTTAATTTTAAATGTTTTCTTCTAAATAACGCCATTGGATGTAAATTGTGACTTAGATGGACAATATATTGTTTATTCATATTTTTTTATTATACTCTCTAGTCGGAGCTATTATTTTTTGTTACAATAATCATCTTCTATAAAATTTCTTGGACAAGATTCTTAGGCTAATTAGGTTATTTGTCTCCGAATGTTACATAATGATAACCTTCATAAGTTGATAGAATCAATGTACAGCACTAATGGAATTTCTTAAAATTTCATCAGAATATTACAGCGCTTGAGAATTTTTAAAGAAATCATACAAAATACAAATTATTTCGGCTTTTATTTCTCTCGGACTAAATAAAATTACTTAATAACTCTTGCACACTGTGTAATATTTGTTTGCATTTTGCATAAAACGCCAGGGAATGTCTGTGAATCTCGGTTGAAGTTCGCGTTTCCGATGACATACTATTAAATCGATTGATTAATAGGGAACCCAGTCAAAAGTCGTAGTCTTCAAAAAGAAGAAAATAATTATAATTACATGACGGAGAGGACGGTCTTGTGAAAGCCTGTTGGCACCGTTTAGCACTGGACAGACCAACGTGGAAATGTCTTAGGGGAGGTCTAAGAAAAGGTCTAACAGGATTTTCATTAAAAAATTTTTTAGATTTTTCACTATAAAGAGGTTGGCGAGAGAACCGACACATGAGCAAGCAATATACAGGTGTCCATGAGAGCAGCAATCTTCTCTAAAATCAGCACCCGTGAATTTTAAAATTGGCCCTTGTGATTTATTTGTCGTCATAAATTCAATTCGAATATCATTTGCTATTAGAGGAATGCGGAGAACGAAAACCGTTTCAACGTCCTAATTAAACATTTGTTGTAGGCTTCAACTGGCAACTTGATGCCTTATCACAATTTCGCCGTTTTAGGGCTCGTAACAACGTTATCGATGTACTTTTTCTCAATGTAAGGCTGTGGAATGGAAGACTAACTGTTTTTAGGAAATTTAAAAAGTCTGCAATGTAATTAATAGCATCACCTACATGGCATGGTGTGTATATTATTTTGTAAATTTTATCTAATAATATTAAGACACCACTGACGACGTTGTTGAAAATTTTGAGAAAACCTAGACTTATAATTACAGATATTAAGTTTTAAGCTGGCAATTCGACTTGACGCTTATTAAGATTCTGACCTTCTGCATGCGAAAAGAATTCTTTGCTCAGCAGTGAGCATCATTTGACTGATGATGTTGTTAAAACGGCAACAGAAGTATCAATGTGAGTTTCCTTTTAAAATAAAATGTCTATCGTAAGATAGAATAGAAAAGACTAAAGCAGGTGAGATTTATCTCTTTAATGCTTCTCACATATCGGATCTATACTTTAACTTTGTTTTGCTATGACTTACTTTTATTAATTTGAAATTTAATAACATGTATTTTGCCTTGTTTTTTTTTCTTCTACGGTTTTATAAGGACGGAGCGATTACATCGCTGTTAAATTATTTCGGATAAATCAAAATCTATACCGTATTGACTGACATAGACTGAGAAAAAAATTTTTAGGCATAGGTTATTTTTGAATATGCTTTTTTAAAAACATAACGCATGCCTGAGGTGAAATGAATTAGTCGGCTCTTCATGTCAAGAAACACAAACAAAGCCACTGAGCAAAGTAAGTAAGAGAAGCAAGAGGAAGGATTCCTTCTCTCCTACATGATTTAATTACAAAGTAGAATAAAGACGTTCGTCTTGCCAGATATCCAATAAGGAGATCTTTCCAAAAAACGAATAAACGAATCAAAGAGTAAAGCAATGGCGTTCTGACGAGTATTGACTGCATAGTGCACGGTAGCTCTAAAAGTTACGCACAACAACAACAACTGCAACTTATCCTTACATTATCTTACCTTACTTTAACTTTACATCTCCAGATTCTTTTCCAGATTGAGGGGAATATTTTTGATTTCTTTTCCTTTAACACTTTCTTAAATTCAATTACGAACAAAGATGCACAATACTCATCCGCGTGGCTCAAAATATTAGAGAAACCTAGATAAGGGTTAGGATAATTATGAAATAGTATATCCTTCGAGCTCTGGACATTTATTTCTGTCTTTTTGGGTGTTTTTATTCCGTTTTTTTTAAGTATTTTTTGGGCCTAAAAATGGGTGAACGTCGTCCAGTAGTGCACAATACGTAACATCTTGGTATTCACGCAAATATTTACATTTTCTTTTAGTCTTACACAAGACACAAAACTACGCTGTTGTATTAAAAAAAAAACTTACAACTTTTGTTTTTAAAAAGTAATTGTATATCATACAGTTTTCAGCACTTCATTAATATTACTGGTTGGGCTTAGTAAAGTTAGTTAAGTTGTAAGTCTCGGTATTTTTTTTATTTTGCAAAGTCTGATGAAAATTATGTTCCAGCAGATAAGTTCCATCCTAGTCAAGAAATCTTGGCTTCAAATATTATACAAAGAAACATAAAAATTCTACCCATTAACAGACAATTTTTTTACTCTCTAACTGTAATTTAGCATTTTCATGTTATAAATGGTGATGTAGAAAAAATAAATTGGAAAAATAATTTATTAGGCTTAAATGATGATGAGATGTAAAAAACTTTGTAATATTATGTCAAAGTTTGTTATTAAGGATTCAGTTTCTTCCCCGATATGCGACATAAAAAAAGGTTTAATTATAGATCTTTTGTTATATAGTGCATATATCTGTGATCATTTCTTTTACTTATTTTGTATATTCCCGGACCCCGGTAACTAGTATTTGCTGATGAAAAAAATCTTCGTTTCAGTAGTATACAGTATTCTGAATTAATACAAAAATACTATAAAAATGTATCACACTATTATAAGTGCAACAGAATAACTATTAAATTGAGTAAGTGCTAACATATTATAACCTTTTGTCGGAAAATTAAGAAAATTTAATACAGCCTTAACTTTGATGAAGTGACAATTTTAGAGTTGATTACGGTAAAAATCTGGAAAACTTCTTGATAACAAATATATAAAGGAAAACTAAATTGATACAAATAACTTGCTAAGCATACAAACAACTAGGATATATTAAAAAATTCTGAGACGTAAATTGTCTAAAAATTGTTTATAATTTCTGCTTACCAATTCCTTTAAGATAGGGTAACAGTATCTGGTTTCCCTGACAGTATACATTATTCGAAAACTGGAGGTTATCCAGAATGTAGAATTTATAAATAATATTTTGATAAATTATCTTCATATTTCTCCTAAAGCCTAGGAAATGGGAATACAAAAAAATCTTTCTCGAAAAGCGTAGCTGCATATCGTAGAGGTTAAGAAAAATAAATAAACTATGGTGATAGTCAATATAACAACTTATAAATTGATAAATTATTCTCTTCCCAAATTCCTTAATATGTTAATACATGGTATAACTTATAAAAACGATTTTTGAATAACAAACGTATGGCTTATGAAATTTTATTTCCTGAAGATTCATTAATATAGAGTATATTAATGAAACTTCTTCAATTTCATTAATAACATACGGTCACTAAACACCAAATAGTTATATTAATCGCAAATGTTATGTTAAATATACAAAATATGACTATAACAACGAAATTCCTTTAAAAAAATATTTAATGCGAAGGGGAACACAAGATGGCGCTAGCCTGCTACTACATCGCGGTAGTGAAATTTGTTTCGATGCTTTAAGTCCATTGAGTTCCATATGATATAGCTCTTAATTCAAACCTCCTGATCTTATAAATATTTTTGAATACTCCACTATGGTCAGCCCTTAGTGAGGTATAAATAAAAGTGGTACACAATAAGAATATTTTGTTCGAGATTGTTCTATAATGTCACACAGTATAGAGGCTATTGAAATTATAGTACAGTTATTTATCATCATTGTTTGCACAGGCTCTGTTTTTAGTACCACGTTAGCAAGCCCCAGATTTAAAAATACATTAAACAGTACCAGTCAAAAAGAAATGTGCTATAATCGTGGCAGAAAATTAGACAATACAGGTGCATGTACATATGTCTTTAACACTGTGTATGCAATATCGTCAGTGCAACTACTTTTGTTCACATTAAGACCTTCGCAAATCTTCTGTGGCTGGTCATAAGATATATGGACTTTTGTCATAGAAAAATCACAGTCGTAAAAAAAGTAAGCTAGGTGGTACTGTTGTTGTCAAAACTTTAGTCAAAACGAGACAAAACAGTGTTGCTTTATTTACAGAACGGGCTAATATCCCATCAGTTTAAGAAGGTAAAGGTCGTAAAATCATCACATAATATCATCAAAAAGTAATCGATATTACTCTTTAAATATAATGCTTGCAGGTTTAGCATAATACTTACATATCACATCAGTTTAAAGCTTGTCTGCTATAAAGCTACGGTGCTTCAACTTATTCTGACTATAAATGTATATATATTTGTAAAACCAACTTGTAAACTTAAATAGTTGCCACCCAACTTGAAATTAAAATTTCGTTGTCTTCATGGTTTATCAAGCGGAATGTAATAAAACCATAGACACTTGAAAGATAACCTATGATATCACCATATGAAGTAAGATCCATATCTTGTCCATTCAGAACAGGCAACTTCTTGTAGAAGGATTTCAATTAAAATAATATGTAAACTATACAAAAAGTAAGATAATACTTAACACCAATCAAGAGCATAATTCCTTTTCAACTTGACTGTGACCGTGGTTTGTCATACATTGGACGTACTAAGAGGATTAAGAGGATGGACGTGGTTTAAAGAACCGAAAACTAACTTTACAGCCTGCGAATTAAGGCATTACAATCTACATGAAGTTTGATAAACCACATATCCTCGATCGTATTGTCAGTAAAGTAACTAGTATACTGACTATAATATTCTAACTGCTTTTTATATTAGTCAAATAATACACGAAAGATTTGAACTCAAAAGAATATTTGGTTAAATTGGTTTAAGCTTTCGATGGGTAAGTAGTTAAGGAGTTTTGATAATTTTGTTTTCTTGAAATAAATTAAGAAACTTCTTAACAAAAGGTGAATATAGAAAGACTTTAAAATTAAACCTCCTAAGAAAGTTGAGCAAATGGTAATTGAAGTAGAAGGAAATATTTGTCGTAAAATCTTGCCTTCTACGCCGTAGCACTGGTTAATAATTGAGTGACAAAATTGTATGTACTCTTATTTCAGTTACCTAAAATAGACTGAGTTTTGCACTGACCTCTAATATCTTACAAAAGTCAAATATAAAAAATACTCTTATCGTACGCACATACATACATATATTGTAGACATAAAACCTTTTTTGTTCAATTCTTAAAGATAAAGAATTATAATTTCATTTATTTCAAGCTTGTCCAAATAAATTTTATAAATAATAAAAATTACAATTTTGAATGTAGAATTAGTCTCAATATATAACAGTAATAATTTTAATCGTGTTCAAAAGCCGTTTCTGGTGAGAAATTACTTTAATAACAAGCGAGGAACAATAGCAAAAATAAGTAACTAAAATGCCATTATAACTTTACTCAATTTAGTATATTATTGCTAAAAATGTATTTATGTATAATGTATATCATATATTACAGGATTGTAACATACGTTCCTCATTATAATTGTAATAATTCTATATCTTTTATGAGACCTGCACCATACGGTGAATGTCTCTTCAAAAATTACCGCATCCATAGCCGGGCTACGGTGTTATTGATTTTGAGCATGTCCGCCTAGGACGGAGTGACCCGGACCTTATATATGACGGAGTGTAAAATTCGTTAGCGCGATCTAGAATTTTCGAGAGCCATCTAGCTTGCCCGCTGATAACTAAATGGTTCTTAAAAACAAAAACGTCTGCCTTGAATCTATTTATATTATAATAACAAGAATAAATCATTAAAAAAAACATCAAAAAGAGAAAACAAAATATATACTTACGAGTACATATATATTTTTAATTTATATATGCTATTTTTATAAATTAATGTTGTGATGACTACGTAATAATATTGAAACGTTTACAAAATAGAAATAAATACCATTGATGTCTTATTATTTTTCTACGTATATTCCTACAAAATAAACTAGGCTTTTTCAGAAAAAATATCTTTCTTACGATGTAAGATCTACTTAATTGTAATAAACGATCCTAGAGGGCGCCGGACCAAGATAAAACGTTCTCATTATTTACATGTAAAAAATACTTCAATGATCGTGATTACATAAAAGAATATATAAAAGATTTAACAATAAATATAGATTGATACTTTAAATTTTTGTCGTAATATAGAACTACGGTTCAATATAGTGTCTGAAGAATTTCATAATATACTGTTTCTGGTTTTAGACAAGACAGCAACAAGTGACGTACGTCTGACATAAGACATTAGTTTTATAAAATGCTCATTACTAAAAAAAAACATTTCATTACGTGATACTGTTTTATTTAAGTTCATATAGTTTTAAGTATTTGATTGTACTTATTTCTATTATAATTGACTAACCTTTCTTGAACATCACAAAACGTCGCAATAAATGGATATCTATGGGGTATTTACAAAATTTAAACTACCCGGAATTAGATTTATGATATCTAAAAAATGATAAAAATTATCCTTCCTCAGACAAGTCCATTGCCCTTTCCCTTTTCCCAACCTTTCCTTGTATTTCCTTATTCCCACCCTTCCCTATCCCTAAAAAAAAAGGTTGGCAACGCATCCGCAACATATTAGTTGCGGATGTCCATGGGCGACGGCAACCACCTTCCATCAAGTGGGCCGTCTGTTCGTTTGCCACCTATAACATAAAAAAAAAAAAAGTCAAATACGGATTCAGAATTCAAATGTTTATAAGGAAATTAATACTTCTAACTTTATTTTATTAAATAATTTAAAAGATTTATCCCTTAATTAAAACACTTTCGTACCCTATTTTTAGTGAATTAAGTCACCATATTGTTGGTAATATTGTAAGCTCAGGGTTGCAACCTTGAAATACCCTTTTCCAACACTACACATCTGTCTTACAATAAAATATTTACCAGAGCACATTATTATTAAATTACGTATACCTCGATTTAAATAATGAGATTGCGAGATAAAAAAACATAATAGATATCAGTAACATTCGCAATTATAAAAAGGTTTTAGGTACTTACCGTCTCAATAAAATCAAATGAACATAATTAATTGAACATTTAATTCATTAAATATTAAAAATACTATCGCTCAGCATATCGCAAGTCGCTTTTGCTTATAAAATATTTTTTTTAAATATTTGTCAGGTTACTAATATTTAATAAAACAAAGGGGTTGATTTATTAACTTTCTAAAAATAAAACTACGAACCAAGTTAAAATCACATTTATTTAAAAAGACGTTACAAAATATAGTAAAAACAATGTAAATGTAAATTATACAAGAGTATAACAGTTATAGGTACGATACGCTGAACTATATTGCACTCAATACGACACTGTTTTATCAAACAGTTTTCTATACACAAAATACAGATTTACTTGAATTCTAATCATATAGAATTGACTAATGAACTACATCATTTAGATATGACGACTAGAATCTAAGAAGTTCTGTAGGTTTGCATTTAGTGCCATATTGTACCTAAATAAGTTACCAAATTATTACAAGTTGTACATTCAAATAACAGAAAAATTATTATTAAAGATTTTTAACGTATCATTTGAAAAGGGATATAGAGTAGAGGGGCAACAAATTATGAGTTTAGAACTCGACACTTAAAATTAAAGGACTTTTAAGTCTGATAGGAATCAGAACTTTAAGTCTGATAGGAATCAGACCTTAGTTAGGAGGCTGCACACCTATCAGAACATCTGTTAGGATATGGTCCACCATGACCTCTTCCCACACCCTGATGTTGAGGGTGTCGTTATAGAACAAGTTGATACGATGCGGTATCTCCTTATTGTCCTTCGGGTCCAAGTCCTGCGAAATAAAAAGATGTAATAAATTTTATATAAATTTATTCCCATACAATGTATCTTTGGGTGTCGATCTGAATATTTACCATGTCGAGGACAGACGAGTCTTCCAGAGCCTGGAGAACCCTGAAGTTCCCAGACGGCGTCTTGACGACTATGTTGAAAACACGAAGTTTACCCGTAGCAGGCATGTTCAAATGGGGCTTCAAGTAGCTGATACTGAAATACGCAGAACCTGAAATATTAAAATGAACAATAAATTATTCTAATTTAAACAATTCTTATAGATATTATAATAGGGCAGGAACTATATGAAATAAAATGGCCTTAAAATAATAGGGTAGGCAAAAAAAAATTAATGATTTTTTACCTGTTCAGGACACCGTCACTCGACGGAGTCTAGATAGACTGTGAGGTTGTCGGCGCAGTGCAACGACTTAAATCAATAATTGCATCAGGCATGCGCTGATCAATAAAGCTCGTCTGGTGCAAGATGCGGTTCCGCGCCTGTCATTTAACGACCTATGAAATATCCTCATCCCTATTTAGTACACACCCCAATATATATATATGTATATAATTTATGCATGAAAAATAAAATGTTTAGAATCGTAAATTGTACGCTATATATACTTGATTTTTTTTTATTATTGACAATAAAAGTTGAATACAAATAACTTTTAAAATACCTTTTTATAAGATTTATTCTTTAATATTTCACTTTGATTATAATTAATAGATCCCAAATTATTCATTTGAATGCAGAAATCTGCCTTTTAAATTATTATTTGGGTTTAGTTTCCGAAAGGTATTTTGTCATAAATTAAACATAGCCGCTATACTGAATTTATCCGTTTTGTAAAAAAAATTGTATTATGGAAAGCAGCTGACAACGCCATCTGTTCAATCTGAGCCTCGCAACTTGAGACTAACTGTAACTTTGATGCTGAATTCTTTACAGAACCACATAGATTTTATTAACAGAATATAATTTATAATAATTAATTAGGACGTCTAAGTTACCCATACATAATTACGAAGGTTCATAATTATTCCTTCAGTATTTTTTGAGTGAAAAATCAACAAGTATTCATTCATCCTTACATCCTCACAGATTTTTGCATTTATAATTTTTTTATGAGTATAGCGAGACGAAGATATATATTTGTAAACTATCGTTTATAATAGAAAAGACATATTTAACTTAAATTTTTAATTTCAAAGTAAATTTTATATTGATTCTCTCATTTTTTTATAACAAATGTATTAATTGGATATCATGAGTTATGATACCAAATATCTACTTAAAAAGTGTAAAGGTACCATTCATTTCCATTTCTATTTCTATTTGACACAAAAAAGTTCCTAAAAGAGTTTGATAATTTTGATATCAAAGATAAGTTTATGTCACAGAATGTTTCTAAACAATAACATATAGTTTTTGAATGTATAATATTTCCATAATAAGTTAAGCACAAAAAATGTTACAAGGAATAAAATATTTATCTTCATTTATTAAGATTAGAAATTGTTTTAAGAAATAAATAGAAGTACAAGGAAGCAATGGTGAAATAAATACTTTCTTATCACCTTCTTTTTTATCAGACAGACTTAGTCTTCAATAGGGAAAACAGATTAATATCTTATTATCGGTGTGGTGTTATAATAAATAGACACTTTAATATAAATACATAGTAACATATATAAGACATAAAATAATTAAAAATACATTAATGTGTTCTACATATTAAATAAAGGTATACGTTTTTCCAAATAAGAAGACTTTTTTGCTTCAGAGTACTGGATAATCAGTCTTGTGGCATGAAGTGAAAAGAATTGTGAATAAAATTTCAAGTTGTCTAATAAAACTAAGCTTTAATGAAAATTCGTATTCAGCCAAATTAATAATTCGCATATGTCGTTTTAATCAATATTTATGTTTGATTTTGATATTAATCAAACATTTTAATATTTAATTGACTTTTTCTTCTTAACTGACGACCTATTTGACACAGATAAAACATTAAAAACATAAATAAAATAAAACTTTCTGTTTTTTACTTTATAAAAGAGTAATTAGAATAATTAATAGATCTATATTATAAAGGCTGGCACGCCAACAATATTTTAAGTTAAAAAAAATCTTTTAATAAAGATATAAATAGATTATATTATAAGTGGCAAGAACTGAAAAAAGATCAATTTTAAAAGAGAATTGTAAAATCAGGTTTCCACTACGAATATAATAATGGCAAATGGAATATTAATCTAATAATGTTTTATTAATATTTGACATTATAGTAACAATTATATGACAGTCGATTTCTCAATCTGGAGTAAGATTAATCAATGCAATTGATCAATTATATTGACTTCAACTTTATCTACTATTATTTTGCCTATTATATTAGTATATACAGTCTTATACTTAAAATGCTTTTTATATATGTGGGTAGTTTATTATACAGTTTTGCACCTTCAAAGGTGATCATTGTTTTACCGTGATTTGTACGAATCTAGGGTAGAACGAGAAAACTAGCTCGACGTGTGTTATGATTGCCGTTTGACACTTGTTTCTTAAACCTTATATTAGTATGGATATTCCTATTTAATGGTTTTCGAATAAAATTGCAAACGTTGTATATATAAAGACTTTTTATGTTCATTATTTGTGTCTCATCGTATATTTTTCCAATAACGAACTAATACGCGATATTTCAGCGCATATCCTTTAATTCGTCAAGACATTCACAATCATTTGGCTTTTTACGTTTACGAATTACTAAGTGATGTGTGTGAATGGAAACTTCAGGAAGTAGTGTCGCAATTTGATTAGTTAATCAAATGTATTTTTAAAATAAAAATGATTATTATACAACTGTGTTGTTTCATTTGTGTTCTATCTACATATACGTCTTTTCAAACATTTTTATTATTATTTTATATAATAAAACCAGTCGTAAGTAACCTTCAGTTGACACTGAGGGGATTTCAACGTGAGTGTCGTAGCATCGACACGTTTTGTTTGATATGTGCTCATTGTCTTTCTAAAACAATAAATACGTTATAGGCTACGTCTGTGAAATTGTTATCCATGTCATTATAATGTAATATTTATGAGATATAACCTATAACAACGTATGGGACTTTAAACGCTAATTTTCTTATAATTACTGATGTATATTTAGAAAGAGGTACATTATGTCTTCATAAAATGTAAGACTACACGTTATTGAGATTTATTTCCCAATGTCCTTTTCATTAGTTCGTTCAGAACGAAAATGTCAGAGCAATTCGATTAAAACTCGATTATCACGACACGTGCTTCCATTACACAGATGTTTAAGATAAACAAGATATTGGTAGTAGATTTTGACCATTACCTTATACAAATCACATTATGTATACGTTACATTTAAGTACTAAATGGGAAATTTCAAAGATGGTTGTGATAGTGTTGACTAACGATTACCGATTAATAGATGTGGAAGGTAAACAAGATAACGCCAATTGATTTCTATGTATTTGTTTATAGAAATCATTAATCATACAGGTAAAAGTACTGAATGGGAAATTCAAAGATGACAATCATAAGAAATCACTTATGTAACATTCATTTTATCGTTATTACAAAGAGGTTGATGTTCAATACATTTTTGTCACCTGTACCTACACTTCTTTATATTTTGTTTCTACAAATAATATTTGTATGATATAATATTTTCCTTACATAATTTACCCATTCACATATTCTAATTAAATATTATAAACAAACAAAAATGACGTATGGGTTGTTGTTGCCATTGTTATAGAAAAGAATAATATAAATATTGTGTCGAATTTTTAAACTAATGCCAATTTTTTAAATAGTTATCTGTTTAAAACATTTTGATTTATGAATTATTTAAGATATTTATTCCCACTAAGACATTATTATCACTTATATGAGAATTACACTTATAACAAAACATTTATGAATATACAGTTCGACATCGCCCTTGTAACAAAAATGAAATGAAATAACTAAGAGACATTTTTCTATATTAAGTATGTATTAATTTAATGTATTGTATTAGTTTTAATTAGTTATTATTTAATATATACCTACAACTGTAGTCAATTTGGTAGTTAGTCACAAAGTGATTTCAAATATGTAACTTATCACCAATCCATTGATATGATAATACAAAATCGCAGATCACTAATGTACAAATAATAAACAAATGTTAAGAATCATTTATGGAAAGACCAGAGTTACTCCAGAAAATATTATTATTGTAAGAAAAGGTTCATTGTATATGGGACAGGATAGTGGTTAATTGATCGACACATATTTTTTTAAATATTTTACTTTAATTTCATCTTAACAGCCTCATTTCTTATAATACAAGATGGCTTCCCTTTTCTATTCTTATCGCTCCCCTCAAAAGTTTGTAAACAATACAAAAAAGCAGAGTGTATGAAGTCGCCAGGCCGAACAGTAGATTAGAATACACAAACATTTTGAAACTTTGAAAAGATTACAGAGAGCTATTACTATAACCAGTTTGAGATGACTAAGAGAAGAGACTAGACTACATTATCAGACTAAGAGTAATGAAACTATCCAACTATTCCCATAAGTTCCCACTCTATTGGGGCTTAGAGACGTTGATCTAACTATCTTACCATATATTCTAATAATTATGAACCACTGCTGCAGTAAAATTATACTCCAAATTATAACATCAGAAACTATAAATCAAAGTATCTAATAACTCTTATACTTACTTACTCTTAACTAACAACGATCATCACTAAATCCGTTGAATACCACACGAGGCGGATCCAAGGACCGTGGTACTATAACTAGTTTATTATTAATATATCCTAAAAGTTCCATTAACGATATAGAAATAACTAAAAAAAGAAAATTCCTAATACTACAATAACAAACTCTTGACTAACTATACTTAGCAGGATAGATGGCACCGAACTTTAAGCTAGCTTAGACTATAAGATTCAACAAGGTGAAGATATAAAACAATATAAGGGTAATGAGAGAAATAGTGTAAACAATTAAACATTGAGTGAAGTGTGAAATGTGAAATGTACGAAAGTGAAAATCGGCCTAGCGCTGATATAAATAAATGAAAAAATAAACAGGAGTAGGATAAATTAACATAGTCTAAATTAAACTAAAAGTATAAATAAGTATGAAATGTAAAATATGAACAAGAAATAAACAGTGGAAGA